CACGGACCGCGAGATCGTGACCTGGCTGAAGTCGGACGCTTAACCGACTGCGCCACCCAGGCGCCCCAGCACTGCCTATTCTTTAGTGTGGCTTCTTCTTTCCCTTTAATTATGGAATTTGTTTTGTCAGTCTTCAGGTTGATTTCTGGGGTATTTAGAAGATTTGATAGTATCTAGTCACGTTTGAGGGAAGAGACAAGCCTAGGGTACTCTGTCGCTGTCTTAGTTCACCCTAAATTGACTTTTTTGACATCAATGAATATATATTTCTGATGTCTATACGTTAAAAAAAATGTTTTTAATTTTTATTTTAGAGAGAGACACACAGAATAGGAGTTCAGGAGGGGCAGGCAGAGGGGGAGACGCAGAATCCAAAGCAGGCTCTAGGCTATGAGCTGTCAGCACAGAGCCCTATGCGGGGCTCGAATTCAGGCGCTGTGAGATCATGACCTGAGCTGAAGTCAGAGGCTCAACACTGAGCCATCCAAGCACTCTATATTTCTGACTTTCAAAAAACTAGTCTATATGGAATAGTTGTTGCATTTTAAATTTTTTTTTTTTTTTTTAACGTTTTCTTTATTTTTGAGACAGGGAGAGACAGAGCGGGGAGGGTCAGAGAGAGGGAGACACAGAATCTGAAACAGGCTCCAGGCTCTGAGCTGTCAGCACAGAGCCCGACGCGGGGCTCGAACCCACAGACGGAGCGATCATGACCTGAGCCGAAGTTGGCCGCTCAACCGACTGAGCCACCCGGGCACCCCAGTTGTTGCATTTTAAGAATGAGCATTTTGTATCGTTTTGTGCATTTTATTATTTGAGTTACATGTTCTAGAACACTAATTTTTCCATAGAGCAAATAGAATGGCAGTGTCCCTTATAGGCTTAGAAGTTCTCCTGTATGTGTAATTGGCAGTTCATTAGATTCTGGAGGGGGATGTCAAAGTTCTCTGAAATGCATGGGATCAAGTTGTCCCCAGTTATGATTTGGTTGGGCTGGAGTACTTTATTCCCTTAAATCTATTCTTCATTTTTCTGTTTTTCATTGTGTTAAATGTGTTTCGAAGTCAATTTCATTTCTTTACTTTATTCCTTTATATCTTAAAAAATTAATTTTATACTTTTTTGAGAGCTAAGTCTTCTCATATTTGATGTGTACAGTCACATTAAATGTTGTATGTATCTGGTTTACCCTCTTTAAAAAAAAAATGTTTAGTTTGAGAGGGACCACAAATGGAGGAGGGACAGAGAGAGAGAGAGAGAGAGAGAGATTGAGAATCCCCAGCAGACTCTGTGCTGTCAGTGCCGAGCCCGTCTCAGGGCTCAGTCCCATGAATTGTGAGATGACCTGAGCCAAAATCAAGATTCGGAAGCTTAAGTTCAAGTCCTGCATCGGGCTCTCTGCTGTCAGCACAGAGCCCGTTTCGATCCTCTGTTTCCCTCTCTCTCTGCCCCTCCCCTGCTCACGTGCTCGCTCTCTCTCTCTCTGTCTCTCAAAAATAAATAAAAACATTAAAAAAAAAAAAAAGAGTCAGAAGTTTAACCAACTGAGCTGCCCAGGCACCTCCTGGGTTACTCTTAATACCACATTTGTTTATGAGAGAAGAGGGCCTGTGTGTGCTGTGTGTGCTGCTGTGAAGGATTTGGTACTAAGCATAAAAACAGATTATTTTAAATTTAAGTGTTTTAACATTTTATACTTAAAGACATTATTGGAAAGATGCTTGCATGTGTTGTCAACATTAGTTAGTCGCCTGAGTGTTCTGATGGCATCATGAGGGCACATATTGTCAGGTAGATTTTACCCTATCTGCTAAAGAATTGAGATCAGGAAGCTTCTTTAAAGTCTGGCTCAGCCACTGTAGGTTGATAAAGTGTGACCTTTATCAACTGGCTCAGCCAGGTTAGTTGATGAAGAGGTAATTTGAGTTTAGTAAGTTTCTTTCTTCCGGAGGACATTATAGGAAGCAACCTTAAGAAGTTTCCTGCCTTAAGAAGACCTTACTTAAAATAGTCTAGATAGAGAGAAGTTTTATTTTAAATAGAAAATTCAGTACTTTAACTCAGTATTTCTTTGTAGTGTTGAAAAAACATTTTTTATGTATAAGTTACTAATTTTTGGTCTGGCTTTCGTCTTAAAGTGTTAAGGCAATTTTTCTTACATTGTTTTTTGTCAAATCCATAAATATTTTGATTCTTGTTCCTTTGTGTTCTCTACCTATATCAAAGGAGGGAAATCTTACTACTTGATTTAAGAACAATAAATGTTAGAGTAATGAGGTGTTTCCCATCTCACTTTAGTGAATTAAATGGCAGAACTTTGCCAAAGAAGTTCATTCTTTTTGTCTGAGTCCCGCCTTTGTATTTTCATGACGCTTCTCTCAAATTTCAGAGTTGCATGGTCACCTTCCCGATGGATGTCTCTATCTTGTTGACCCATGGACATACTGAACATCTGTTGAAAGATAACTTATTTCTTCTCTTATTTTGTTTACTTCAGCACCAGAATTTTTTCACCCAAGCCAGAAATCTGGGCACAGTGATGGCATAGACATAACATGAGTGTGTCTCATCCAGTACCATTCCTCCCCTCTGCCCATGTCAGACATCTCATCAAACACAGCACCCTTTCCTTTGAATGTTGGCATGAATGTTGGCGTTTAAAAGCAGCACAATCTAATTGTCACCAAGCCCTGCTGAGTTTTACTTCCTATATTTCTCAACTCCACCCTTTTTCTCCCCACATGCCGTAATTGCCTAATTCAGTCCCCTACAGCTGTTTAATATGTGGATTAAATCTGTATAACTCTATGAGATAGATACTACTATTGCTATCATTACTGTTTTAAAGATGAGAAAACAGACAGAAACAGGTAAGTTGTTGAAAGTCATTTTTTGCTTTATCTGCTGCAACTGCCTCTTAACTGGTACTTGAGGCTTCTGGTCTTGGCCTCCTTAGACTCCTCTTTCTTCTGTTGCCAGAGTGATCTTTTTAAAATGCATGACTTCAAATGCCAGGCTATCCACTATGACATCTTGGACAGTATACCTAATCCCACAGCCAAATTTCAATACACTTTTCAAAGAAATCTTAAATAAATTTTATAAATATAAGATTGGACTTTATTTTGTTAAAACCTGTTCCATCATGTTCTCAAATTCTGTTTTACATGTGAGCTGTTAAATTAGGTGAAATTTAGAATGTTTTACAGTTGGGGCGCCTGGGTGGCTCAGTCGGTTGAGCGTCTGACTTCAGCTCAGGTCATGATCTCGCGGTTTGTGGGTTCAAGCCCCGCATCGGGCTCTGCGCTGATAGCTCAGAGCCTGAAGTCTGCTTTGGATTCTGTGTCTCCCTCTCTCTCTGCCCCTCTTCACTTGTGCGCGCGTGCTCGCTCGCTCTCTCAAAAATAAACAAACATTAAAAAAAATAATAAAATGTTTTACAGTTGACCCTTGAATAACATGGGCTTGAGCTGTGGGTCCACTTATATGTGTTTTTTTTTTAAATAAATTTATGTACAGTATTGTAAATGCATTTTCTCTTCCTTGTGATTTTGTTAATAACGTTTCCTGTTTTCTAACTTGAGAATACAGCATGTAATACATACACAACATATGAAATATGTGTTAATTATGTTATCAGTAAGGCTTCTGGTCAGCAGTTGGCTACTAGTAGTTAAGTTCTAGGGAGTCACAAGCTATATACCCAGATTTTTGACTGCATGGTTGTTCAGGGGTCAGCTGTCCATTTGTTAAAGCCAACTATGTTGAAAAGCAATTGAAGCTCACAGAATATGATCATTAAGTCTGCCTTTAAGGATACTCTTTAAACTTCAATGTTTATTTAAAATAAAGCAATTGTCTTTAATAATTTTATAATTTATAGTTATGGGAGTGAATTTATGTATATTTTGTTTAATATTCTAAATTATATTTGTTTGAAGAGCAAGTTAGCAAGGTAGAGCAAGTTTTTGTAAAGTGCTGTGTTTACTTGGGTGATTTCAGAAAGTAAAGAATTAGCCACGTGTCCTTTTTATTTGACTTTTCTCTTTGGTGACTTAAGTTTTGGTTTAGACCATTGTATTGCCATGATAGTTTATGCCATTTGTCTACTTTTCTTCGAGATTCAGTTAACCTCTATTGAGGAATCTTTATTGTACCAAGGGCATGTAGTTTTATTTCTCTTACACTAAAGTGACTCAGATTATTAGAGATCGTATGCTTTGAGGTAGTTTTTCAGCCTGTTACTTCTTGGATCTCTTGTAGTAACATTTAGAGGCAGCATAGCACAGTGGTCAAGTAAGGCTCACATTTAGTCAGACTGAAGTTACTTAATTGTTCTCACATCAGTTTTCTCATCTGTAAAATGAAGATAAAAATAGCTTATTTAATCCCACTCAAATACAAATAGTATAGTGCCTATCAAATAAATGCTCAATAATTGCTTACAGAAAATACAGTTTGGTAGTATTTTCTAAGAAGTTCACGTTCCCCTTTTAAGTAAAGTTGTGAACATAATTTAATGAAACAAGGTTATCATAGTGTAACGACCTGGGGATCACTTCATTTAACACGTTTTATTAAGAATATATTGTGTCTCAGCACACACACTTATATTTAGGCTAAATGGCTCTGCTGAGCTTTGACTTTCCAGCTTCTTTCACTTTGCTTTTAGGTGTGCTTTTCCTTAGTTACTGGACATCTTGGAGCTCTTGCCTATGGCTCTGCCCCCACCAAATTTGCTAAGGATGGTAATAGCAGTAAAAGCAAGTATGTTCTGAGAGGGCGGATGTACTGTTTTTAAATCAAGTACATAAGATTTAATGCATGTACTTTGTGACCTTTTGGCAGCTCATTGGTTGCTTTTTTTTTTTTAACTTCTCATTTTTCAACTGTATTTCAAGCAATTGATATGGCTTCAGTCCTCAATGTGATGCTATTAGTGAGTTTGTGTTATTTTCAGATGTTGCTTAACATGAAATTTTCAATTTTTAAATTTCAAGATGGAGATATGCGTGAATTAGAGAGAACCAAACAGTACGTACATGAAGCTTTCCAAGCAGGGGCCATGACTTGCTTAATTTGTATTGCTTCAGTGAAGAGAAACCAAGCAGTAAGTTTTTCTCTTTACCTATATTAATGTATCTTCCCAAAATATCTTATTTTGCATTTATAGTTATTTATTATTTTATTTTATTTATTATTATTCTTTTGCTTATTTTTGTTAAAAAATGCTTCATTTGTGATTTTTGTTTATGAATTGATTTTCACTTTGTGAATCTAAATTTGAAAAAATTACCTCTAAATGAGCATCCAGTATTTTTAGCACTCTTAATAAGTGAAGCAAGTATCTTCAGTTTTAATGTACATCTCAGTTTGATAAAGCATAGCATCTGTACTTTAGAGATTCCCACAAATACTAAAATGTTAAAATGCACTGTGTTTCACTACTTTCAGCAGGGTTAAAAAAAAAAAAGGTAGATATGGTCCCTGCCTTCAAGGAAGTAGAGCCTGGAGTGAGCTTCTCTTGTGTTGAAGACACTGTAGAAAATGGCTAGGGTCACTGGGGAGAGATGGATTCAGATAAAACTCATGGACTTGGAGGTGCTGCTATGGTCTAATGATGAAGTTATCCATAAATAAATAAGGGCATAAATTAAAAGGGCATTAAAGAAGCAGTTAAGGGGAAGTAATGACTGAATATGGTAGACTCAGTGTTTAGATTCAGGTTAATCTGCTGTTACAGCAGCATTGCCTAGACACAGAAAATCAGGCCAGATCAATTGAGTTGGTTGTGTAGAGTGAATCAGAAATTTGACATGCATTGGATAGGATAGATATAGATGGCATGTGCCTTTGGTGTCACATCTGGTGACTTACTCTGATCTCAAGTGCGGTGGGTGAATAGTTTTTCCGCATATGGTTATAGTCCCACCTTAAACACTTGCTGTGTATGTCGATTTTTTTTTTTTTAACCTTAGTCCTTTCTTCTTGGGAACTGACTCAGGTAGTACACAGGCATTGTGCACAAGCACAGGGGAGTTAATGCCCCTTGGGGCAACATTCTTCCACATGGAATTAATTGGTGGATGAATGTCCCAACATCCTCTCTGCTAGGGGTTGGGGCCTGGGTAATTGAGATATGTTTTACATGGTTCTCCACAGGGTCCCTAACAGGACTGAACTTTGGCCCTTAGTGCTAATCAGCTCAACAATTTACTATTTATTAACATTTCCTCTTTCCCACCTTGTCCCCTCTTTGCTGCATACCAGTTCTTTATTCAGTCACTGCTTTAGTGCTAACTGAAACTAAGAAATTGCCTTATTTTTTTAATTCTATTACAGTTTATGCATTATGCTACTTGTCTGATTGTATTGAATAGTTGCCAAATGTTAAAATGAAAGCAGAATTGATTTTTGTCATTGAAATGTTGGCAGGTTTTAAAAATTAAACTGCTTTACTATTATTCTTCAAGTTTTAGTATGTGTGTGTGTATATATATATATATATATATATATACACACTTTTTTAATTTTTGGAATTTAACATTAAATGCTAGGTTACGAGATTTTACATAACAAAGGGGCTATGTAGAGAATATATGTACATATTATATTTCAGGATTCCTTGGTGGCATTATTTATGATTGGAAATACCTAAATGTCTAAAAAGAAATCGGTTAAATAAATGGCAATATATAAATCTACATGATACACTGTATAGCTGTAAATATCATGTATGAACATATTTAATAACAGTAAATGCTTATACATATCAGTACAGCATAACCTTATTTTTAGAAAAGTTTGTAATATATACCAAAAACATTGGAGATCATTCAGAATGTTAGTAGTAGTTATTTCTAGCTAAATGAATCGGGGTAATGAATCGGGGTAAAAACACTTTTTATTCAAAGTGTTTTACGCTTAAATAAATAGTTATGAAGAACATTTCTTCTATTAGAATGGAAGGAAAAATTTTTTTCCTTTATACTTCGGTAACCCTTCAAAATAATTTAATGGGATGCTCATTTTAAAGTATTGCGGAATTATCAAAGAAAATCATGGCATGCGTGTTAATTTCTGATACCTTTTTCTTAGGTTTGGAGCTGTTCAGGATGTTTCTGTATATTTCACATGCCCTGTATCCAGAAGTGGGCTAAAGATAGCCAGTTTCTAGTATCTTCTCCTTTGACAGATGACGATTTTGGAAAAAGAGATTATCCTTGGCCATGGTAACTTTTTGCTAATTTAGTTGGAACAGTAAGTTGTAAAATAAATGAAAATTGTAGCTCAAAAGTTGCTTTATTGGCAGTTTCAGGATCCATGTTGGGTTTTCAATTAGTCATTTGGTTTGTGAAGTTAAGGAACTTTGGTAATGGCTTTTTCTTTCTTTCTTTTTTTTTTTTTTTT